GCCTTCCCTCTAGTCTTATACTGCTAAATTAGGGACAGCTAGCGCAGATATTCCTTGTGGAGCTTTGCGCGAAATTCAAAAACAAACAAGCTTCAGAAGAAAACGTTGTAGGTACTTTTTTTTTTTAATGTAATAACAGAAACGTGAAGACGTTAAAATAAAATAGCCTAAGATTCTCCTTTATTTTCAGCAAATCTGCCTTTTGGGATTAGTTTAAACATCTGGCAGCTACCAAGTGAAATCCACTGGAGACTAAGTATGTCATTTCTTACTAGAACTCTGTTTGCACACAGGTGGATTTCCCACCACAGTTATAGGGAAGAATGTGGTGGGAACTATTTAATTTATCAACAAGTGGCGAGAAGAAGAAGAGCAGCTTGGCGAAAAATTAAAACAAATTTGGCTTTATTTCTTGACCATAGCTGCATTTACTTTAAACCAAAGTTAAAGGATAACTGTAACGGAAGATAAAAGCATTTTAATATAAAATAACATTAAAAACTGGTATATGTTTACATAACCGGACTCTCAGAGTAAAAATGAATTAAAAGCAGTGAGAACAAAAGACAAAGTGCTAAGTAAATAGTTCCCTTACATGCTTCCACGTCGTCCTGGTCCTTTGAAGCCTAGATAACTTTCAAAGTCCCAAATTACTCTGGAAGCGATGTCATCTATGTCATTTAAGGCAACTGCAATCAGACAAACCTTCCCAGATCACTGTTGAGTAAGTCAACCTGGTAACCATCAAGGCCCAAAAGACCACTGAGAGGACAGAGACAGTCTTGAATGGCAACAATAAGAAAGGAGTCAATCTTGAATCATGTTTTGCAGATGGTCAACGGAGGACATTCGAATTTAAAGTAAAACCATATACGCTATAAATTTTCTGTACGAAATCTAAACTATACTTATAAAATTATATAGTCTGTGAAATACACATGTCATAACAGTCGATAATTTATGGCTTACTCAAAGTTTAAAACTACAGTTTTAAACTCTCAGTTGACTTCATAGTCGTTCAAAACCAATAACGGATTTTAACAAACGTAAAATAATTACCTGTTGTATTAAACATATAGACAAATCAACCAATCGATCGATAAACAGACAGAATTATTTAACAAGATTCTCATTATGTATAGTTTCTCATTTCCAGACTGTATTCATCTACAGTTGTATCGAGATAGTAAAGAACGGTGTCAAAATGGCCCAACCAAAGCATCCTTATCGCTGGAAGGATTTTTGGGAATGGAGACGTGTTTTACCTTGGACAAAGAAAGCAACACAATGGCCCTTATCTGCCCAGAAGTTGTCGTTGTTGTGGCCTTTGACTCTCGAGAACTACTCATACAGTGGCAGGTTAAGATTAGAGCCCATCTCGTTGAAGGCAAGTTTTAATATCATTACTAACACTTATATATACACCGAAGCTGAAGATGGAATTTGTAGATACTGATTGCCTAGAATTCATTACTAAAGTAAGTTTATTTTACTACACATATACCAGTATATGTATTGCCATAGGAAGCAATTTCGGAGTGGTCAGGCCATTGCCACAATGCTATTTCTAGGGATGTCTGGATGGCTCCCCCAGAAAGCGTTTGAATATTTAATGCTATGAGACTGAATCTTGAACCATTCTAACTACAAATACTGCATACACACAGCGTAATGTATTGAATTAAAAAAAGCAAGTTTTAACAAATAAGTTGTAGCTGTATGTGCCACTAAAAAGTGGTCGGGCCATGGCCTGACTGACCTTAACGCTTCCTATGGCTCTGATATGGTGCAAGTAAAAGTTGACATTAGAAATGATTCAACAAAAACTCCAATATAATAATTTGATTTTGTTATATATATACTTTTATTTAGTTCACCGAGAGTGTTAGACACATTACTTCATATCACCCATTATCCGCTCCATGTGTTCACTAAATGTACGAATATGTTATACCTTTGCCTAGAACTTTTCAGACTTTTAAAAATTTGCAGCTTATCATGGTCCATCATTAATTTTATTCCCAACTACTAAGCGTCAGTTTTTATCTGTATCTAATTTTTATGTGGCATCATTCCATTTCACTGATTTTTTCTATCATATAAGATATTAAATCGTGGAAAGTGGAATAAACTAGGATTTAATTTTATTTTACAAGATGAGAAGTGAGAAGCTTCAAGGATGATTTCCACACTGGAACTTGTTTTTTTATTATTATTCGTAATTAATGCATAAAAATGCAGAATAAAAAGTTAGTTTAGTTGTAAGAAATCTATGATGGTATTTGAGGAGCACGTGAACATAAAGTATTTAAAATAATGTTAACTTCTAGCTTCTCTTTGTGAGAGTATTAAAAATAAACTACAACACACATGTAAACCTTTCAAAACAACCAATATGAAGCGATTATATTTTCATTTTGTTGAAAATACACAAACTTTTCTTGTCATGATTGTTACATTTAAGTTATTATCTGCTAACAAACCAGTAGACAAGCAGATTACTTGAACGACTGAGATTAGTGACTCAAATAAATTATTATTTGAATTCACATCTATTGGAAGAACAGAACTCAGGTTTAAAGAATCACGACAGAATGTAGATGCAAACATGTTTTGTTTAAATAGTTCAAACCTAATCTATAAAAGGAAGAAACTCATAACTGGTTAAAGAAAGTTGTCTTTTTATAAATGGTGTTACTAATGTAATGAGTTTTTAGTTTGTTTAACTACATACAGATCTAAGTTTGGCTAAAAGAAGTATTCACTACAATGATCGACAATCAATAGTCTATGAAGAAAAACACGTGTGAATGGATATTAATATATATATATATATAATATCCGTTTACTTGCTACGAATAAAAAAGTTAATTTAATTGCTGTTTGCTTTTTATTAGCGAGTTGAAAATCCATTAGCATCACTACATTTTAGCATACGTTTATTTTACAGCACATTATTTACTTAACGTTATATGCATATAGAGAAAGAGAGATTAGTCTTTGTAAAAATGCAGAAAAATAAATATTATAATATTTTGATTATATAAAGACCTACTTATTTGATGGTTTTATATATTTTAATGCATGCTTAGCTTGAATTCTAAATATCCAGCGACAGCACAAATAGTTATATTCACGACTTCAAGCTAGGTTTGTGATCAATACGTACAGTTTGCTCGGACATCTATAACTTATTTCAAAGGAAACTTCTATACAATGAATATGCATTACCGGAAGCTAAATACATTTCCGTTGGAACAACAGTAAATTGAGATTAGTTCCTGTAGTTATTGTGTCGTATTTAGACAACGAATTTGATACTTAAATTGGGTTTTTAGCGTCGAGACATCGTTCATAAGAAATATGTTAATAAAATTTTTATTTCATCTTACACTGTCACCATCTGTCAGTAAATTATTTGCAGATGGATAATAACATCACGATTCGTGGCTTCTTTCACCCCTTTCCATGTACCATGTCAACCTCACTTTGGTTGGTTTGATATGTAATTAATTTACCTGTTCAAAAAATATAATTCACGAGTAACATGTAGACATTTATATTGAAATTTTTCGAAGTAAAATATCCATAATTGTTTTATTGTTGTTTTTTCCTGAGGCATTGCGTTTAAAGCACCGTTTGTCAAAACAAGTAGATATTCATAAGTTCACAGACAGTAAACCTGGTTCCAGTTAAATGAATTCATTTGTTGGATTATGCATACAACTAAACAGAAGAGCAAGTTTCATACATCACGACTTTGCTAAAATGAATTATTCATATTTTTACTTCCAGAACAACAACACCTAGTGCAGATTTCTCACATTCCACCAAAAAGCAAGTTACCGTGTGGACCTGCACGACTTCACCTACAAGACTACACTTTTTGCTTAACAGCCGGTATACCTCCCAGATTGCTAGGCACATGGCCTTTGAAAGAACTTCGCAAATTTGGCGTGGTGGAGAATAAATTCTGTTTTGAAGGTGGCTCCCTCTGTGGTCGAGGTAAGATATTCAGCTTCAAAATACTCATACTATGCTATAGCAATAAATTTGTAGAATTTTGCTTACGTATTATTTTTCAGTTATACAACAAACGATTCGAGATTGTGTATACGGATATGGACATTATATCAAGATATAAAAACTACATAATCAATTAGGCACCACCATTTTAGATGTGTGTTGTTTAATTAAAGTTTTTTAAATGTTTTTTTTATTGTTGTTGTTGTTCGTATTAATAGCTGTAAAACTCTTCCAAATTTTATTTTGAATTGTATTTAGTTACTGAGGGCTACACTACGTAGTGTCAATTTGGTGTACACATTCTTTTGACAAGAAATTAAGGAAACTGTCTTCATGCTTCAAACTAGTCATAACTTAAAATAAACATTATAGACAGACCATATTTTCACTGGCGGATTTTACTTATTTCTGAAACTATATTTATCAAATGAAATCTCATTTTGAGGGGGGAAAATCAAGATAATTAGAAGTGCCGGTTTTCAAAATTATTGATACCTTTGGCAATAATTTGTTATTCTCAATCACCACAACACGTTATGTGATACACGAATTAAACGCTCAGGTAAGAGATCACATAGCCGACCTTACTGTAGAAATGCTGAACCCAGTGAGCAACACGCGTTTACTCTTAACCAAGTAGCAAGATTGATTGTCACGGCTCGAACCTTGGACCTTCTACTCTGTAGCCTGGCACGCTAACAACTAAGCTACGTCCGACTAGAATCAATGAGAAAATATAATAAAATGTAATAAAATGCATTTATTAGAACGTATAAAACTTAATCGGACATAAAGTTTGTTCTGAATATGAAATCCCCTGTTTCAAACATTGAAGACTACGAGAATAAGTTGTTTTGTTTTTTTTCACCTGAAATAGTTATGTATTAGCATGGACGCGGTCGTGAGGGACACGGAGGGTGCAGACACCTCCCCAGTAGTTAAAGATGTAATATTTATATTACATGAAACCTTCAACATCCCCCACTTCAAAATTGTTCCCGCGTTTATGCGTACTGGTAAGATGGCGCGTGATTTGTTATCTTTCTAAAGCAGTACTTTGTTTATAAAAGAATAAAGTAGAATAAAGTATTGCTTTTTTTGAGAAACAATAAAAACAGAAATTATATGTTTTTGTTATATATATTTACGTTGTTTACTATGAAATTTAGTTAACAAAGCAATCATTTACCGAATAATAAAGAATTTTCTTCTTATGGATAAAGTATATTGATGCTTTACACTTAAGCATGCAATTTTCAATTACTTCTATTGTTAAAAACATAAAAAATCCATGTTATATATTAAACAGGAGAAGGAGTACACGTTCTTCTCACTAACCAAGCTGAAGATCTGACGAAAGCCTTCGATTTAGCCACCAGAGGCAAGCTAGCCGGAAAGCGAAAAGTGGCATCTAGAAAAAATTCTGGTAATAAGTTTGAAATAAATTCTTTTTTTATTATAGTTCATTTACACTTTTGTTGTCAATGGATAAAAATGTGATTTATGAAAAAAAAGGGTACTGCGTGGTATATAATTCTGCTGATTTTTTTATATGAATTTATTGATTGTAATCTTAATTTTAATCTATATTTGTAGATTAATAAGTATAATTTCAAGCCATTATGCTTGTTTTGCTTTTTTCATACAGTTTGCGAATCTTCAACTCGAGTTTCTCTACAGTCAAAAACCACCATCAAGTCCTTTGTCAAATCAAGTACTGAATCGAGTCGAGCCTTACTTGGGGATTATCCAGGGAATAACACTTGTAAACTTCATTATCGTTGGCCCTCTTCTGCTTCTCATAGCACAGCGACATCTGTAGTTGCAGTTAGTGACGTTGAGAGTATGGAGACAGTTTCGATGAACCTTAGTGACATCCAAGAGGTATCACCAAAACTTCCTCATCGAACTGAGAGCAGCAACCCTGTGACCAATCAAATTTCATCAAATGATAAATCATTGTGGTATGTACTCGCTTCAATTTCCGTAGTCAATGACGTTACATTTTTACATACAATTACCCATAACTGTCTTTAGCGTAATGATTTGTTTCACAGGTCATCGAAATTAAACAACACTGTGAAGACCATTCTAATGAACCACGAATTAACGATATCTACAGGTAAAAAAAAAACTGATGATGAAACGTTGTAATAATTGAAATCAGAACTTGCCTACTGTAAACGTTGCTGTTATTGTATATGTGAATTCATTGTTCAGTTCAGTAGGTTCATCATTAAACATTAATTCAGGTCTTGTATTATTTTGTCCTTATTCTTGATGACTAAAATTCGATTTAAAAAAAATGTTTGTTTAGTTTATTGTAACATAAAAACTACGCAGTGGGCTATATAACGTTGTATCCACTGAAGTTTGAACCCCACTGTTAAGCCTACTACTGAGCCACCGGTGGATGTTTTTAATTCATTTCTTTCATACAGTTAGATAGAAGTAGAAGACACTTAAGAGAGAGAGAGATAGGGTTCACGTCATTGTTAAAATTTAATAACACTTGAAACTCAGGCTGCATAGTTCTACTTTAAAGTCTATTCGAATGATGAAAGTTAACTTCTTATCATAATGGAGTTTGCGATGTATACGTCTAAAACTCGAATCTCAGAAACTACCGCATCAATCATAACTGGGTAATATTTTTATAACTAGACAATATTTTTATAGCTGAACAATAAATAAAACAATTGAAATTTCCACAAAAATTATATGTTTCAAATTTTACCAATAAAAAATTACAAACAAAAAGGAACAAGTTTCAAATTTAACCAATAAAAATTATAAAAAATGAGTAAATTTCAAATATTAAGAAAATCAAATTAGAAATTTAAAAAATTATTTGTTTTTCTTTAGTGAAAATCTCAGACAATTCCAGGAAAGGCCACAGGCCCAATAGCCTTCAGCAGGAACTAACAGTTATACCTGTGATGCTTTAAAATGGTTTTGCTCTTATATGAAGTAATTTAAGTTTGAATTATTGTTTCGCTTGTTAGGATTCTTATAAGATTTTTGTTCAATATTGTGTAGTATTTCTTAATAAAAGAAACCTTAAGGTGATTATATTTTTCAGGTACGTAGAACTTTGTTAGATAAATGAAGAAAAAATATCAGTTTTGGGTGGTTTATGTTTGATATGCCACGCATATGGAATATTCATAACATTTTAATTACTTTTAATGCTATAAAACTGCATACTTTTTCCGTGGGCCATTAACTTTTTTGGTTTTTCCAAACCTAATTACCAATATTACTTTCGTCTACTGGTTAATGGTCAGGTGGTTAGGGCGCTCGGCTCGCAATCTGCGGGACGCGGGTTCGAATCCCCGTCACACCAAACATGCTCGCCCTTTCAGCCGTGGGGGCGTTATAATATGACGGTCAATCCCACTATTCGTTGGTAAAAGAGTAGCCCAAGAGTTGGCGGTGGATGGTGATGACTAGTTGCCTTCCCTCTAGTCTTACACTGCAAAATTAGGGACGGCTAGCGCAGATAGCCCTCGTGTAACTTTGCGCAGAATTCATAACAAACAAACAAACAATCCACTGGTTAATTTCGTGAAACGTATCTTTTGGTTTATTTATTAGTTACTATTTTTATACCCAAATAAATGATTAAAGACTTGCCATAAAAATTAACAATATTACTTAGACATTCCTATGGAATCTGAATTGGTAAGTACTTTAGGTTTGTCTCGAACAACTCTGGCATCGACTTCTCAAAGCTATGGCCAAACGTTTTGCATCAACCTCGGATTTTTAAGAACAAGACATACTTAAATACAAACTATATGAACATAATTTAGATCATTTATTTCAAATAATTAAATCAAAGAAACTACAAAAAATATATCATAAAAGTCTAGCGGAAGCTACAATAGTAGTACTTAGTATTTGCAGTGAATTCCATGATTTTTCAAGACTTCTTTAATCCTCGCCCCCTAGCGGCACAGCGATACATCTGCGGATTTACAACGCTAGAAACCGGGTTTCGATACCCGTGGTGGGCAGAGCACAGATAGCCCATTGTGTAGCTTTGTGCTTAACCTCAAACAAACCTTAATTCTCTCAGGTGCGAACTCAATGAGGCACTGAAGGGTCAAGTCGTCCTTGAGATTCTTCCATGTAGCTTTTAAACGTAAAATTGTTCAGCGCGTTTCGTTCGTCTTTATAAAACAAAAGTAGTAAATTATAGGGTGATATAAAACTTTTGACCACATCCGTACAATGTATCCCTCCTGTTTCGGTTAAGTCATGGTTCAAATAACGTATGAGCTAATAAGTTTCAAAGTTAAGTACATGTATTGGTTGTTTCAACAGCAATTAGCTCTTACTTATCCGGCTTTGAGCTGAATGGCGATGTCCACTCTCACTCTTATAACGCACCCACATCTGAAAGAATGGAGCGTGTTCAGTAGCATCGCAATGCAAATCTTGGACTTTTAGATCTTCAGCTCGGCAAGTTAACCACGCGACCACGCCCGGCTCTAGTGCTTTTTTTACGTATCCACAGAATGACATACTGTTTTTCTATTGTTTCTTCTTATTCCAAACACATTTCAATCAACCTTCATTCCTTCATTTCTCAGCGGATTGACTTGAAACTTGGAATGGTTATACCGTGGTTCAATACACCCAAGATCCATTTTTATTTAGGATCTTTTAAGAAATTTATGGGGTCAAAGGTAAAACAACCCAAAAATGTATATTTTGTACAGTAATATTTACAGCAATCAAGATGAAAATTGGTACACTTATAAATTTTAATTTGCACAACACAATGACTTACAAAAAGCTAGATTTGCCTATTTTGAGGTAACAAAAAAGCATAATTTTGAAGTTTTTGGTCAATTACTCAGCAGTATTTTGACCAGTTTACATGGGATTTAGTACAAATATGCTTTTCTACGGGTTCCATGCATTGACAAACAAAGATGATGGACTTGCCCATTTTTAGTAATTATAGAAGATAAAGATACCACAAATATCATAATTTTATGGGTATTTGTTTACAGTTACTCCGCCATATTTCGGCATAATTGTATGGGATTTGGTACAATGATACTTTTTTACAGGTCCCAAACAAAGATATAGACAATTTTGGAATATTCGTCTTTTGCTCGAATTTTCAACAAGGAAAATACATTTTTGATGTTTTGTGAACTACTCATGTATATGTAAACCAACTTACATGAGTGTAGGTATAAAGATACCTTCTTGCAGATCCCAAGCAGTGATATAGACAGTTTTTCGATTTTTCTGTGTTTTCACGATTTTTCTGGTATCAAAATTGGCCATGTTGGAATTGCGTAGCAGACATGTTACATTCACTCGCGAATGTTGGCTTCTTTAATAATATGATATTTTTATAAAGTTGTACATGACTGTATGTAATACAAAAACATATGCTAAATAGCACTTTTAATATCATCTACCATAAACGCAATGATAAGCTGAAATTATGAGTTTTCATGTGTTTAAAATACCTTAAACGTTACATAAGATGAAGAAATGTTGTTTCTGTTTCTTCTCCAGGAAATTTGACCATTGTTCTAAATGCGGTCGCCACTACTGTACAAAAACTGGAATCGCACTAAATAACCGGCAGAGGTCGTATTCTCCAGACGATCGCCGAGAAAGCCGAAATTTTGCTACTCCGTGGGCATTGGAACTTCGACCATTATTTACTTCTACAGAGAGTGTATTGCGTACAAGAAACTCCACGAATCGTCATGACAATAAACGTTTCGTAGACAGGGCATCGCTTAGCTCACAAAGCAGTCACAGCAGTAGCAGCACCAGTAGTGGAAGCTCTGAATATTCTGTTCCACGAAACTGCTTGGAAACATTATATGATCGTCCTCGAAGTATCCATATTAATAATGGAGTGACCACGCCAAAGAGTCCTTCTAAAGTGACCAGTATAGGAAACAGTCCAATCTGGGAAGAAGTAGGAGACCGAACGATGAACACTTCTGGTCAACCGACAGATAACATTTGCTATTGTATAGTGCCATTTAGTAGCAACACGTTACCTCGCTATATTTCTTGTTCCTGCTTACAAAGTCGAGCACCTGCCCAGAACGAAAGTCAGACACCAGGACAGATGACTATTAGCAGGAAAAGCTGTACTTCCCTAAGTCTACCTAAGACTCGTCTGGAACAAGTATCAACACTTGACAGGGGCTTCGTGAGGAAAGAGAATGCTCAAACATCTGTAGCCGTTGATATTTGTACATGTTGCCTAATTCCAAATCCTTGTTCCCATTACGCTATTCCCAGGACAGCTCTGGCTAACATGTATTTAAGGGTTGGTATATATAAATATTTAGGTTATGATATATATGAACAGAAAATGTTAAGACTAACCATTGTCATTGAATAATGTATAAATTATAAACCACATGATTTACTAAAGAAAATATAGTAACAAAATACAAATCAATGTCTTTTCATTCTACACTTAACTCAATATGTCGTGTGTTTCTTTTTAATATGTACATATAGTTTAAATCAGTATAGAAGCAAATCATTAATGTTTCGTTTTTATTTGTGCACTGTTACCATCTATTCATAACATCACTTTTAAGGTTGTGGCCTGGCATAGCCAGGTGGTTGGAGCGCTCGACTCGCAATCTGCGGGTCGAAGATTCGAATCCCCCATCCCATCAGCCGTGAGGGTGTTATAATGTGACGGTCAATCCCATTATTCGTTGATAAAAGAGTAGCCCAAGAGTTGGCGGTGGGTGGTGATGACTAACTGCCTTTTCTTTAGTCTTTCACTGCTAAGTTAAGGACGACTAGTGCAGATAGCCATCGTGTAGCTTTGCTCGAAATTCATAACAAACAAAACAAACATTTAAACTTACAAGACATGAATATCCGACATTGCTGTTTATATTACACTTATGGGAGAATTATCTGTGTTCGCCTTATGCGTCAGTCCCACTAAATAAATTACATACCTGTTGCAAGCAAACAAAAACTTTCACATTTCATGTAAATTAGTTTTCATGTAACAGTAGTAAAATACACTGGCAATAAATTTATTTAAAATATGAATGGTTAACCATAGGTGGCTCAGTATATTCAATTTAGAATGCATTGTGAAAATGCGCAAGCGTCAATATATATATATCACAATGAAAAGTATATATTTTTATCCAGTATATCAACGTGGTGTTTGCAATTTTATACTGACTCAGCCAATCTTAGAATTTCATACATTGTTGCTGGTATGCTGCAGAAGACAAACATAATATTTAACATATTTCATTAATTTTTACATGTAGGAACTGAAGGAAACAAAAGAAGATTGTATTGCTGAAGGAAAGCTGGAACCGGTTACAACTCCGAAGGTTGACGAAGCGTTAGAGCAATACGATGTTCCTCGAAAATTTAAAGTAACTGAACTTCCTCTATTTTACTTTGCCCTTAAGTGATTGGAAGCAATCCAATGAAAACTAAGTTAATGGTTAACGACATACAACTAATAATAAGAATTATAATAAGAATGTAAAAAGTAATAGTTTGTGAGCAAAGCGTAGAATTGTAAAAGGCTCACTATATGCAACGAAATTCACGATCGATTACAGATAATATTTTGCAAAGTTCTTATTTAATAGCTTGCGAGTTTTAATCTAGAAGTGTTTAAAAACATGGGATTTTTAACTATGTTACTTGTCTGCTTAGTCGAAGAATTCTGGTACTGAACGAAATACTACCTGCGTAACGACTTACGCCGGATAAGAGAGACAGTTGTACTGCTATTTTTGTTCACACCTCTGATTTAACATCTAAAATGAACTGACTAACAGAACTGTAATGATAAAGTTTTAGCATGCAACGTAATATTTTAGTACATTTTTAACATTTATGTTCCAGAAACTTTGAAGAAAAAAAAATACTTCTTCAACAGACATTAACTTTCATGTTTTATTTGACAAAAAGAAACGAGAAAAATTTCTCTATAACATGTTAAACAGTTCTGGGAGGAATATATTATATAAAAAAAAGAAATATGGAAGTGAGAAAACATAAGAACACTCGCATAACGCATGCAAGCACTATATGTATTTTTGAGTATCTCGTTGTCATATTACTGGAACTCAGCATAATATCATTTTCACGCTGCTAGAATGATCCACCTCTCATCTTTCTCGATAATCACAACATACCACAGAACCTTAATAGAATGTCGTCACTAAATCACTCCAACATCGAATTAACAATTTTATGAATATATACTGTGATGCACATTTGAGAGTCGTTTCATAATGTTATATATTTATTATTTAATTATTAATTTCTTAGGAATATGTCGCATCGGTAGTGTGTGCTTATAGCGAAGTGTAGGAGTCAGCAGCGCTTAAGACTTTTGACACAAAATCTTTAGTATAAAATGGACACTTCTATTCATGAATTAAAATAATTTCGGAATGATCAAATACGTAGTTGTCTTTGTCAGTCTGTAAAGGGTCCCATGGAACTGATCTAACTATTATTATGCTTTTATTCACCATGTATATATATATATATATAAAGAGAGAGAATAAGTAGTCAAACTTCAAAAAAAAAAGAAAATAAATTGTCCTCAAGACACTAGGATAAACATCGCCATTTTATTTTTCAGTCATCTGCTCTTTTCAGGTTTCCGGTCCCGCTTAATTAGATTATGAAAAATAAACACTCTTATCGACAGAGCAAATAATTAACCCACTAAATACTGGCAAAGAAACATTTTGTAACTGCTACAACATCAACACAGTCAACCGAAAAGTGCGTTTCAGAGTTTTTGTGGATACTAGTACTTTGTACAACTCGTCGCGTAATTACAGATTTCTCAACACGTTGTAAGAGGGAATTGGTTAATTTAATTTAATTGCTACCAGCCATTAGTAAACAGTTAGTAGAACAGGTTGCCATTTCTCTTGCAAAACAACTCCAAATGTAGTAAGATTTCTCGGTCTTCCCAAAATCTTGCAAGATAGTTTAATCGGAATCTGCTCGAAACTCAGGGTTGAACTCATCAAAATTTAAACATTATTTCCTTTCACCACCTGCTTAAAACGGCAAGTGGTATGAAAAAATGAAGTCTCGTGCTAAGTGACGTATAGTTCCTTCCTCCCCACATAATCCCATCAGTGTAGACGTTGTTCACAAAGTAAGACAAATCATTCAAGGCTTTTTTTAACTATTACTAATGAACCGTAATACTTGACTCACCACGCTTTGCAGTTGGATATCAACAGTGTTTCCTCCAGATTGAAGTCAAATCCAGATTTACCTATGTGAGACAAGAAATGATTAACTCTCATTAATAACTCCACTGGGCGGTTTTCTATTTTTTTTCTCCCTGCTTTTGATGCTCAACAACCATGAGAATCAATGATTTTCATTCGTGTATGTGAAGGGGCTCAAGAAATCCATTGGCACTGAACACCCTGCACATCCGTACAATGTATCCCTCCTGTCTCGGTTAAGTCATGGTTCAAATAACGTATGAGCTAACAAGTTTCAAAGTTAAGTACACGTATTGGTTGTTTCAACAGCAATTAGCTCTTACTTATCCGGCTTTGAGCTGAATGGCGATATCCATTGTCACTCTTATAACGCACCCACATCTGAAAGAATGGAGCGTGTTCAGTAGCATCGCAATGCAAATCCTGGACTTTTAGATCCTCAGCTCGGCTTGGGTGATTATTTAATTATAGTTGCGGTGTTTCGCTTCAAAACACCTTTAACATTTTGAATTAACAAACGAGCGGTTAATTCAAGCTGATATTCCACTTTGGTAAGTCCAGTGGTTTTTCCACTTTTTCATCACAGTACAAATTTAATAATACGCTTATTCTACTGTTTATATTTGTTCTGCCTTTTCACGTAAACACTAAACGTTAATAGTTAACTAAGGCTGTTAATACTTTCTATGGGATACTTAGTGTTAGAAAAGTAACTGTTATAAAAATGTATCTAACGTATTTCCAAAAGGCGTTGAATATTATTTAAATTGACAACAAAAATATGATAAAACATTGGTAACATTACCGTAATATTTTCTTGAAGTTAAAATTACTAAACTCTCTGAAATTTCAATGAAATATATTTCCACGTTCTCCCAGTTATTCGTAATCTTCTACACCCGTTTCACTACAAGTTAATGTAGTTAGTTACAAAATATAACAATTATTAATGTATTTTAAAGCAACAGTTAATTTGCTTTCTTGATCATTGGTAAGATAACCATACAATACTCCGTCAAAAATAGAAAAGTCCTTCAGTTTGCATATTTGTTTCTTTTTTGAAGTTAAGCACAAAGCTACACAACGGCTATCTGTGCTCTACCTACCACGGGTATCGAAACCCGGTTTCTAGCGTTGTAAGTCCGCAGACATTCCGCTGGGAGGCAAGTCCTTCAGTGATACCCGTGATAGGCACAGCACAGATAGTCCATTCTATAACTTTATATTTTCTACAAACAAATAAATCAGCAAAAAACATTTTCTCAACACACACACACACACACACACACAATATATATATATATATACAGTAGAGTTGTATAACAAATATATCGTACCAGTTATAGTAAAAATTACTAATAATTAGTAAAGAATATTACTAGATTCAAATCTAGTAACTTTGAATTAAGTTGCTCAATCCCTTTGATTAAGTATAACAGAATAGCGTAAACTTTTCTATTTGATTTAATTAAAACATGCGACATAGTCAGAATATTCTAGGGACAAATATTTCAAACCAATATTAGTTTAATTTTTCTGTTTTTTTTCTAGAACTGCCTAGACAATGAATCAAAAATTATTAATGAAACCAATTAAATAACTATTTATTGAAATGTTTATCTTATGCTACGTATTTTTTTTTTATCCTTCAGGAACACTTGAATATTAATCAGAACACCACTGCACTGCTTCCTCCATCTATCAATGACCAATCACAACGTACGTCTTGTCTGCAAACCCACGGTATTGTAGCACAGGGTCCTGTATCTTCTGAAGAAGCATTTCCTTCCTGTTCCTGCCAAAATTTGATGACGAACGATAGTAAGGGAAGCTTGGTTTCACCCTCGAGCAAACCTATCTCTGAAAAAATAAATAATCCTTTCAACTCTACTATTACTTCGTCACTCCCAAATAATTTACAAGACACAAATTTGAATAGTCTTTCTTTGGAAAAGAAAGAAAATACTTTAGAAAAGTTAAGTGAAAGATTGATTACGAGAGAAACATTAATATGTACTTGCAAAAAAATGTTTCCAAGCCCTGTTTCAATTCATCTTGATAAACAACAACACGTTCTATGTGATGATAGTACTGCAATAAAGCAACAGTGTCAAAGTACACTTCAATCTCAAGAAGCATTTTCAGATTATGTTAACATGGAACATGCCAACATTTCAAAAGACAAGTCTGAATATAAATGTGAAGAGCCTACTCCTAATATACCAAATTATGTCAATCTAACATTTATTGAATCTCTTCCTCTGTATGAAAATTCAGATGCTTTATTGAAAATATTTCCGACAAAACCTAGTGATTTTCACTCATCGAACGTTGGTGAAAAATCTAGAAAACCTCCAGTATATCCAAAGAAAACACCACCTGGTCCCATAATAAATATACCATTGAAAAATCCCATTCAAAAAAGTGATATCAGTGATTGTAATAGCATAACCACTAATTCTACTCCCTGTTTTAAAGGAACTTCGGAAGGATTATATAATATCGTGTCTTTTACTGGCAAGAAATGTAGTTTAGAAGCAGAAGACAGTGATAATTATTTACTAATGGAACCTGTAGTTCCTTGGAAATTAATGAAAGGCTTTTCGTCATCACAAGGTAACTCGTATACATATCCTCGTACTTTAAAGACCCATAATGATAGACAAAAACCAGATTCCCCAGAAAATATAATAACAAAATTGCCTCTTTGCCCTTTTATTCCCTATTTATTACCCTCGAAAGAAATCGATAGCGGTGGTGGACGTTGCAGTTTAAATAGCAACACGGAAAAGACCTTCGTAAGTCCATTTCAAAGGAGAAAAAAACTAACTTTTCAAGAAAATACATCTGAAACATCTTTATTAAATTCCCTTGGAAACTCAAAGAAAACAATCTCGGTCTGTAAAATATCAAACTCTGCAGCAACGTCTAAAAATCAATTAGAAGATACTAAAGAGCATGCTCCAAGGCTAATTGGAAGTCCAAAACCTTCACCTGTCAGAAAATATTCCTTCTTTTCTAAGTTGCCATTGAGGTCTAAAGACAAATCGCACAGCACTGATGAAATATCTCCAATCTCCTCTGAACCTTCTTCTCCAAGCTATAGACCATTAGAAAACCTTCAAAAAAAACCTGCACATCGCTCAGCAGATTGTCTCAAACTTTCAGATGAACACAGACTGTCTGAAGATGAACTAGACCAAGAAAATTATGATGTAATATTAAGCGAAACAAACGATTCGTCAAGTATTACAAAAAAATCACCAGATGTTCCTTGTAAACCAAAATATCGAAGTTCTCAACCTAGCCCTTCTGATTCAGGTGTATCAGTCAGTTTACCTCTCAGTGGTGACAAGGAAACAACACTTGGCAAGATATCTCCTCACATTGTCTGTAGTTTTCATGGATCTCTACCAAGAAAGCTTCATAAAATAGAATGTCGGGAAATTATTCGTACTAGCAAGAGGCCGTGCTGCTTAATTAAAAGAGATTTCTCAGATCATCTCAATAATCGTGGGCCATTTAAGAAAACAGACGAGTGCACATCTCAAAACATTCAAGGTAATTGTCGCATCATTATTTAGCGATTATAACAGTATTCGAAATGAAGCTATAGTTTTTATCTTATATCTTAAATAAATATATTTATATCGTGAGTTTATACCCAAGAGATTTTATTAAATTAAATTGCAACGTGCATTTGTTATGATTAATTTATTTATGCTATTCTTGAAGTGTTTTTCATTGCTCATCAAATAAAAATGAACTTGCATGATTTGGGCGGAAATTATAAACTTTAAAACTTTTAAGCACATTTGAATATTTATTAAATAATATGTTTATCTTTTAAATCAAGTGACACCAAATTTAGCCATTAAACTGTATCACCCGACAACGAAAGAATGAAACTATATAAATAAAATTATATATTTAAATCTAATTGAAAGCAAACTAAGAACTTTATTTATTTATTTTGAGCAAATGCACATAAAAAGTATAAATATACATAGATTACAAAACGCTTCTTTCTTTAAGAAATATATATTATAAAGAAGAAATAATGATAAAGAATTGTACTAACTATTTAGGAGTGATATTTAGTAAAATGTATTTCTATAATTCTATAAGTTTAGTTTTGATTCTGTAATTCTAAGTCTTTGCTTTCAGCTCAGGCTTACAATAATTTTAATTTCATTTTTTATCTACTTTTACTTAACATCCTCAAGGTTTCTTTCTCATATTTTAAAGCGTACCAACAACTGATATCTCCAGATTGTCCATCAACCACTGAGCTCCTGGTGACAGCCAGTAGTTCCTCTTCTGACATGAGTGATTACATAGAGACTTTATCCTTGTGTTCACACAGTAGCACAAGCAGTGGAAGCAGCTGTGAATGTATGCATGCTGAAGAAATCTATGTTCTTGCTCCTGGGACCATTGGGTCTAATAAATACAATCTTCAAAGAACTTACTCCGGTCAAGAATGTCTTCTTCTGAGCCATAGTAAATCACTATCCAATACTTCAGTTACACCTCAACCTTGTTGTTACACTGGAGACTATGGTGTCTCTAAGAACACGTCTTCGTTATGTTCTGAAAGTTACAGTTATTGTCCGTGTTCTAGCTCGGAGACTAATGTTCAGACAAAAGATCCTAAAATGTTAGATTACGTTCTAGTAGACACCTCAAATTCAGATCACACAGTAAAATCTGATTCTCTGGAGTATGCTTTAATTGACATTGTAGCAAGTACACCGATGAAAGACAATGGAAAAGAATGTCCTACTGACACTAAAAACTGAATGTGATTCTTTCCATTGCTCAGAAAACTTAGTAAAGCATTCGTACTGGTTCTTTTAGCTAAATCCAAGTGATATTTTCAGCTGGTTTGTATGTACTTACATTATATTTATTATGATTAAACCAAATAGTCAGTTTCCTTGTATATAGATGAACGTAGGTAAGAAATCAAAATAGTTGAAATGTTGCAGGCATATATATAAACTGCATTTGAAACAAAACATTTCATGCTAAAATATTTAAAAGTAAGATTATGGTTTGAAGACACTTTGTCTTAAATGCTACACTGTGAAGGATCGGTAATTTACACATACTAATATTCACACATTTGTTTTGAATATTCACAGTTTTCATAATAAATATCGAAATAACGACCTTGTCATAAATTGCAGAAGTGAATCTTTTAGAATACTGTCCGCAATGTCAGTATTTAAAAATCGCTACATAAACTAACACGATTATAATTCAAATTAACTCGTTGAAACTTCCTATAATGTTCATGTCACTAGGGTTAGAGAATAGTGTAATGCTGTAGAAGATATTGTCAGGCTTATCTTATAGCCATTTTTGGAAATCAGAAAGTGGTGGAAAGATTAGAAATGTTCTAAAAAAGGAGGACATTGAGATTGTTAATTGTCTTTACCAAAGTTCAGAACAAAAAAAAAGAAATGTACAAAAAGGAGACTCGATGTTGGTTTTTTTTACTTGTTTGTTTTTCGAAGTATCCAAAACCACAAACTATAAGTACATACAAAGTCGGTTATCTTCGTTTTAGTTATTGCTTTTTACGAAGTTCTTAAATTATTAGTTTTATTTAAAGGAAACATTTCGTAAAAGAAATGTATTTGTTTCGCTTAAATAAAACAAGAATTAAGTTTTATATACAAGAAACAGTATCAGAATGAAAAAAGTTACTAAACACTCGTTTATTCATGTACTTACAAGTGTTATTTGTCATTATTATCGAGTAAAATCAAAACCAGTAATTTAGATAATAAAACGATTCGGATATACGATAGTTCCTTTTTTGAATCTGTATGTTAGGGGATATTTCATCTAGAATAACACAGTTAGTTGCAGTTCTGTTTTTATTCTCGTTCTTTTCTGAATAACATCAAAACATTTTATGATCGTTGCTGATATCAGTAATTGGAGGTTATGTACATTCATCATTGATGTCACATTCTTCATATAATAAAAGTCGGTTCCTCTCCTACTATCATTTTTCCACGCTCCCTGTGTCACTGCTACGTTTTCTAACATCATAACAGTGCCTGTATAGGGTTAATATGAAGGTGTCGCAATTACATATCAGGAGAACGGTTCCATGAAGCGTACTTGGTTTAATCAGTACAAAAGAGATTTCATTCATTAAATAAAAAAAGAGGAAGCAAAGAGTTATTTGGAAAGTATGTTGTTTTTGATTAGAGTTCGTCAATCTTTATTCTCTGTCGAACAATGCACGTAAGAACGTTATTTTGTATAGAGTACAATGTAAGTTATGTGTGAATATATATAAAAAATATTTGTTCTGTATATTTTGGGGTTTGTAAAAGTAGATGTATAGGAGGAATTATAGGTTTATAAAACTTTACACTGGTTTAGTTTTTCATCTGTAAGTTTTTGGTAGTTGTATAATGTAGAACACTGTTTTTGTTGGCTTTTACCATAGCATTTTCAGAACATCTGTCAGTGTGTGTGTGTCTTGGATTCCACACGTGGATATACTAGATATACTGAGCACGTACATGGGATATTTACATAACCTTATCAAAACACCTTTGTACTCTTGTTGTAATAAAGTTGATTAAAGTTTCGTGTCCGAAACATTCCTGTTATTTATTCTTAAGCCTTTTACAAAAACCCATGTGACATGAAATAGTGTAATGTTATGAAAAACAGAACAAACAACAATATACTGACTTACCGATGCGTGAACAGGATTTAACCGAAGGATTAAAATTGTGTTAAGCTTATGAGACTCGTTAATTCAAAGAATCTGAACGCTGCTAACGACTCAGAAAACCTTTGTAAGTTAATTATAAGTATTTATTGAACCTTTAAAATTTAATTCAATATCTGTTTGCTCGTTTTTTGAGAAAATTCTTCAACTTTATAATCTGTAAAATTAACCACTGTGTAGACCCCATAATTTGTTTCCTCTGCATGTTCGCTTTGCCTTCATGCAAGGGTATTTGCCAAATGGAATATTTTACACACCCACGATTAATATATTTATTATCAAAACGTGTTTGAGGTTTACAGTATACAAATGCTTCCAATACTCAGTTTCTGGATAACGTGGAATTGTAAGCCCGGTTGGCACAATACTGTAATATAATCTCAGGGTATGATACACGAGAATGTTGAACAAACACAAATCACTCATAAAAACTTTCAAAATTTTCTGAAAAATATCTACTATTTAGGTTCTTCGTTTCACACTCAAATGCTTCACATGAACCATAAAATTTGTTAGCGGTAAGTTTTAAGAATTAATAACGCTAAAACTCTGGATTTGATACCCACGGTGTGCAGAACACAAATAGGCAGTTTTGTAGCTTCGTGCTTAACACAAACACACAAAATATTCGCAATACAGCTCGACTGGACTTCGCTAAAATATGCACGTTTTTTTGTGCATTTAGTTCTCTTACAGAGCGAAATTGTTACTAATAACATAATACAAGAAGAAAATTAGCTATAAATTGAGTTCTTGAAATAATGTAAAAACTGGAACTTATCACTTTCAGGATTGGTTTATATGTTATTGTCTCATGATCATGGTCATGATGAAATTGATGTTTGAAAACTACATTGTTTACTTCTTATTAAGCACAGAGTATCACAATGGGTTATCTGCGTTGTGCCCACTGCATTAATCTAATTCCAAATTTTAGCAATATAAGCTCTTAAGCATACCTTAAATTTAAGTTAAAATTTTTTAAGTGAAATCCTAACGTCTTCGACAGGTAGACCTGTTTTTTTTCTTACCCCTGAATTAGACAAATTCGCCTGTCGAAAGCGCTAGGATTTCATCGGTTTTTGTTTTTTGTTGTTGTTCATAAGGTGATTTTTACCATATTTTTTATCCTACCTTTTTTATTTTCAATTATTTCTTTATCATATATAATGTATCTCGGTACGTGGAAAATCAAAAGCTCAGTAAACTTTCAGGATATTTTGTTAGGGTAACAATCAAATTGTTACAGAAGTTAATTGCAGGCTTGAGTCTATTTTCTACAAAGTTCACTGTACGATTTTTAAAGTTGTTTATTCTAATATTATGTTTCATTAAAAGCACTGATGTTTTTAAACTAATATGTGCATTGTAAAGCTTAATTGCGCTTTTCTAAGGTTAATCATTTTTAAGCTCATAAATGCACTATTTTCATAAAATATAAGATGCAGAAACGTTTTTTATTAACAATCTGTGAATCTTTAGAGTACAATAATGCTTTTAATAGCTAAATTATGAGTTCTTTTTTAAACAGCAATTTTATATATAAATCCTAATGGCTTTTAATTAAGCAAAATCCTTGATTTTCGGATACCTAAGTACACATGCTTATTCGTCGCTCGTTACCCTTAAATAGATATTTTATTACTTAATGCTCGATCACTTAAGAAAAATCTTAATTGTTTTATAAAAACAAATTCATAAAGATAGATAGATATCTTATTAACAAATACCGTAAATTTATGCCGTTTATCTCTGAATTGTACGTAAAAACTAGCATGATCCATATTTCAGAAAGGTTTATTTAAATATTGAATTTCTTAAATACTTGCGATCTTGGAGATCAGATATTAATAGTTGCCATGCTTAGTAGTCTATGCAATCAATAAACTTTAATTGCCAATTTGTATGCTTTTACTTTAGTCACTGATTACCAGATCTTTACTCCCCAGTGGCACAGTGATATGTCTGCGGAACCTACAACGCTAGAAACCGTGTTTCGATACCCGTGGCGGGCAGAGCACAGGTAGCCCATTGTGTAGCTCTGTGCTTAACATTTGCCAGATCTTTATTACTCAAGTTTCGGTTGCTAATCTGCTCTCTTCTTCAGGTGAGTCTCGAAAAGGAGTGGCACAGAAATTAGGATTCAAACCTGGGTTTTCTTGTTAGAAAGGCAGGTATACTATCCACTTATGGTGAGAGCACTAACTAGTGGATAGCTCACCTGTTAAAGGAGCAATGAATAATGTGTTTATACCTGTCACCAAAAAGTAAGTATCTTGGATGTGACACTCTCCGATATTCCTTTAAACTTCTCCAAATGTTTTATTTAGCAATTTGAATGATAATGTTAAATAATCAATTTTAGACATAAAAGCAAACTTTATCCACTCGAAGAGTCTCCATTGTCATAGAACCTAGGCAAAGTATCACGTATTAAATGTGATAAATCTAAGCACACATCACACATCAAAGTGTTACAGCACAGAGCACATTGAGCTTTATGACGCTTTTCTTTAGTTTCTCTTTTCGTTTGACTGACTCATTCGAAATGCGCATTACATAAGCAGTTTATTCACTTCTCCCATAATGCCTTGGGTAGCATAGAAAATACGTGAACAACAAAAGGAACCTTAATGATTGAATGTGGATCAATTCAAAACAACAGGAAAAACCAAAGACTACTTTTGTTGTTCAAACCACAATAAACATTGTAACTCTTATTGATTTTCTTTGATTCCAACATGTCAGAGCAAGTCGCTTAGAGTTTCAGCAAGCACGATGTAGGAATATTTTATTTTGTAACTGTAGCAAACTATCGGGGGAAAGTATTCTGAACAGTAGTATCTCCTTAGTTCGAGATTGTCAAAAAATCAATTTAAAATTTGTTTTGAAGTCAAACCCCTGAACCATACTGAAAAATGATCTTTACTTGATAAAAAAAAAAGAATAAATTCTCCGGGACAGTCGATAAGCGCAGAAGTGCACACTCCCTTAACCAGTTTTAAACCAAAAATATGCTCTAACAGCCTTCATATTACCATAAGTATCCTCTTTTATTAATTTTCTTTTGGGTTTCATTATGTATTTTTGATTGGATTTATAACAGAATTACTTATAGAACAGGTAAAATTGTTCGTGTACCTTGCTTTTGGCTATTTCTTTTAGAAAAAAAGTATATATAATATTAGCTGTTATCATAGTGGGACTATGTTCTTTAAGACACTACTTATCCTTGATAGATAAATTTTAGTTGAACCTTTCTTCTTCCTAAATTCTTTTCTTTGTGAGCATTATCATTATCATTTATGCCCAAAGCTTTCCTTTTTTTCTCAGAACTGTTGTCACTCAGTACATTATCATCAACCAACGAAACTCTTTTTTCTTGGGACTGCTTCACCGACATCATCATCATCATCGTGAAAGATATCTTCTTATTAGAATATTTGTTTTTTACTCAAAATATTATATTTAAAGAAACCCTTTCTCTGTTATTTCGTTCTATTAATATCTTTTATAAAGTCTCATACATACTTTATAACTAAAACGGAGTTACAAATCATTGGTACACATTCATGTTTCAAGTAACTCCATATGAAAGTCGTTTACGTAAATTAAGATTTGAATACTCATCATATTAGTAACGTTTAATGGTTATAAATATATTTTTATAGAAAATATTGGGATTATGATGAGCAGTGATGCTGAAATTAAAAGTGAAGAACAAGCTACATTATGTTATTATCCCCTCAGGTACATTGACGACGGAATATTTTTTTAGTGATTTGCTCTAAACCATTAAACAGAATTGTAATAACCAGTGTATATGGTCGATACAGTACCACCTACAGTAGGAGAGGGGACAGTCGGATAAATTGTCCCGAGCCCGGGCATATACTGAAGCCCGGACAATATTGGCAACTTGGCCTGAGCCAGTACGTCACGTGTTCATGTGTATAGAACACAACAGCCTACAGAATACAAAATACTTGATTTTGTGGGGAAAAGGTGCATTAAAATCTAAGTACACTAGATTCTAAATATTTTTATGCTACAAACGTGATCCCACAAATTTTTGCTGTTTGCTTAGATCTAAGACAAGCTGGAATAAGATTATAGAGCGCCTCACTCCTATCTCTATTAAGCTGATCCGGAAGAGATGGTATATACATCATTTACTGAATGAAACTTCATATCTTTATTAGACAAACTTAGTGTTGCTGATTTCCCCCTTTGGAGGGAGTAAGCAACACACACAACATAAGATACCCCTTTTTTAAGTATACCCCATCCTGGGCCCAAAGGTTTCTCTGGAGGCCACATTATTTTTAAGCACAAGCAAAAGGTCCGCTTCAACCTCTAATTTCCGTGTCCTTACTCAGATGGAAATATGTAATATCAAATAATTTGTTTGTTTGTTTTGTAATCGCGCAAAACTACTAAAGAGCTATCTGTGTTATTCTTCCTTAATTTTGAACTGATCGACTAGAATCAAAATCACCCACATACAACTCTTATTTGATCGAATAGAAAGATTTGGTCGTCACCTTTACAATGTAAAAATGGCCCCAAAATGCGGAGCGCAATTTTTTTTCGGTAACGGGACACGAACAATGGACTTACAGATCTACAATCCAACACTAAGCACTTGGCCACGCTCAGCCCATGTAATTTTAAAAATACCTTGAAAACATAATAGATTTTAAATAGAAATACGCTTTTTATTTCATTGGTGTGGATGTTTTGGGAATACCCTTATAGTTACAGTTTATTACAAAAACGGATGACGCATATAAATTAGTTAAGAACTTACTTTCTTTATAGAAAAAATCTAACGTCCAAAGTTACGCATTTAAGAACATTACTT